TGTAGACGCAGGTGTTACTATATTCTTGTCAATTTGCCCATCGCTGCCATGGCTGCGGCAATTCGTGTGAGAATTTCCGTGTTACAGGTACCATCTTTAGACAAGATGGCTCCCAAGAATTTAAAACTGGACATTTCCTCCTATGAAATCCCGTTCAAGGTAATGTAGACGCAGGTGTTACTATATTCTTGTCAATTTTCCCATCGCTGCTATGGCTGCGGCAATTCGTGTGAGGATTTCCGTGTTACAGGTACCATCTTTAGACAAGATGGCTCCCAAGATTTTAAAACTGGACATTTCCTCCAGTGAATACCCGTTCATGGTAAAGTAGGCGCAGGTGTTACTGTTTGTGCTATTTACCATTACCTTCAATTTCACGGAGCTGACCTAAATTTCATATACTCCTGCTCTTTCAACAAGTTTGTAGGTCAAATCCTGGAGCTCAACTATATATATTTATATTAAAATGTCCAGAAATATATTTTATATAGTAAAATGATCAACAAATATTTATAGTTGAAAGCATAAAATTACGCACAAAATATTTGGATTTCGGCATTAAATAACCATTAGAGGTGTTGATATGCCGCTAAACAAAATCAATCAACAAACCAAAGGATGTTCTCCATTAAATTAATACTATGCTTGTGGCTGCATAAACGAGTTATCATTTATTTAGAGGTCTTAAGAGAGTATAAAATCCTAAATACTAAATGTACGTTCGCATATCCAGCAATGTCGACATGTCTATAAAGGTTTTATCGAAAAGCGTTCGTCGGTAGGAAAAATATCGTTCAACGAGCGTGAAAACGCGAGGTCTCATACAGCAAGGATAAAGATTTGGGAACTCGTTTGCTCTGTTCCACCCAACACGTAATATTCAACTGTCCTTGCACCACGCGATTATTAGCGTTTACGATGGATGCAAACTTTTTTGGGCGGGTAAACGTTCTCTAAAGAAAACAAAATTCTACAATTCGTCGAAAACCTAATCTCGTCAAGACCTGCGCAATTTTACTCGAAAGCGACCAAAAAGCCGCTTGATTAGTAGAAATAAATCATTGAAAATTACGGTGAATTATTTTACGTGTAAGTTTCATTGATGTTCTTATATTCATTAAAACTTCCTAGTTGTTCACATATTCCGACCATGGTATTCATGGCATCCGTCAGTAGAACCAGACCTGTCGTTTCAAGTATCTTATTTATCTGCGAGGAAATTACCCAGCATTCAATGCAATATATTCCGGTTGATGTTAAACAGAATTCGCGCGATATATTATTTGCATCTAACGATATGTTTTATGTATTTGCTAGAGTTTCAAGAAGTCATATTTTATCATCTGACTTCATCAGTATGGCTGATACGAACATCCAAGTAAGTGAATCATTGTGTCATTTTGAACTAAGGTTTTCCGCGGATATCAATGCAAATATTGTATTGAATCTGATGCTCGGCCAGTTGTTAGGAAATTCGGTTCAATATCTGGTGCTAGACCATCTTTTTCTTTCGAATCTATCTTACATATGTATATGTCTACCATTCATCCATGTTGTGAATATTGCTGCCACATATGTTCTAGTATTGCTGTTGTATAGAGATCCTCGATAAAATCCAAAGAAGAATCTGCAAAGTTATTGGTGATGACATGGCATCTCGGCCTCAGGCACCTTCTCACCGTTGTAATGTAGCTTCCCCTTGCCTTTTCTTTAAATTCATGGAGATTGTTCTGATGAATTTATCTCGATGGTACGTAAACTTTAAGCACGGAACTAGAATGGCAGCTTGCTATCACTATTTTACAGTTGAAATGGCTCGATACAACCGTAAGTTCTATGCTAATAGCTTCCTTCCTTGTACTTCTAGCTTGTGGAAATCTCTTTCGATTTCTCGCTTTCCACTCAAATTTGTTGTTAAAAAATTTAAATGCAGTGTTTTTATCTTCTCTTTTGCTGCCTGTTCATTTATTTTCGTCTCTCCTTTATAATGTTTCTCCTTTTCTTTTAGTCTTTCATATTCTGTAACCCCCTACGTCTTAGTTTCTTTTTAACGTTGATTAGAGTGAAGTGATCGAAAACAAGAATTAATTATTCCCATGCAACTTTGTAATTCTGTGTTACATATTCCATTGTCTACATACTGTCGTACCTTGATTTTGCCATCACCAATATGCAGATGATACCTTGGGTTGCCTATTCTTTTGATTTAGACACATTTTACGGTTTTACACTTAATATTTAATCTATCCTTCCTGACTTCATTTACTTTAAATCATTTTCTTTCTTTTTATGTGCCGTGTCCTTTCAGGACGTAGGCGATCATGGCTCACCACCTCCCCCTATCCTTGTTGTGGCCAAGTAATGGTTAAGAGGGCACCTCAGGGTGGTGCAATGGTTAGCAAGCTTGTCTTGCTAGAACAATTACGACTGAGTAGTGAGTTCGATCCTCACTGGGTGCCCCATACTTTCGGCCTTGTGCCACATCCGAGCTACGCTTGGAAAATCGCCTAGTAATGGTTAAGAAATTACAAAACAAGAGATTGCAGATAAAAAAGTGTATTAAACAGTAAATACAACAGAAGTCTGTTACACGACTTGGGCGTGTGTGTCGGTTGACCAACGTTCAGTCTATATCACTGTTATATTTAGCAGCCCCCCCAACGAGGGCACATGTGGCACAAGGCCAAGTTTAACGTGGGTCGACAAGTCCGTAGACCCGATTAAAAAATCCCTGTAGAACTTGCATAAACGGGTTCGGGTCTATCTACCCCCCCCACCCCCACGGACAAGACTCTCCCTTCCGCCACAGCCTCGTACAGCGTTCTTTCTTCCTAAGGCAGAGAGTTCAACAGGAGATGCGAACAGTCACAGCATCGGTAGAACAGTCTATATCACTGTTATATTTAAACCCCCTCCCCCACACGTGGGTCGTATGTGGCACAAGGCCGAGTTTATCGTGGGTTCTCCGAGCCCGTACGATCGGCCAAAAATATTCGCCCTTCGGCAAAGCTTCGTCCAGGTTCCTCTCCGCCGAGGCAGAAAGTTTGACAGACGAACGGGCTGTGGAATCGTTATATTTAACGCCCTCCCACGTGGGTCGTATGTGGCACAAGGCCGGTTTATTGTGGGTTCTCCGAGCCTGTAGGTTAGGCCAAAAATATTCCCTTTGAACCCGTATAAACGGGTTCAGGTTCTGTCTACCTCACCGAATGAAACTATGCCCTTCGGCACAGCTTTGTCCGAGTTCCTCTCCGCTGAGGCGGAGAGTTTGATAGCAATGAACGGGCTATGGCACCGTTATATTTAACGGTCCCCCACCACATGGGTCGTATGTGGCACAAGACTGGTTTATCGTGGGTTCGGCCAAAAATATTCCCTTTGAACCCGTATAAACGGGTTCAGCGCCTGTCTACCTCCCCGGACGAAACATTGCCCTTCGGCAAAGCTTCGTCCGGGTTCCTCTACGCCGAGTTTGACAGTCATGAATGGTTTGGCACTATTCCCCCGAGGATTACTTTTCTACTACTTTATAGTAAGTGGAAGAGCCCACAGTAGCCTCATTAGAGGGACGGCACCACAACAATCCCTTGGAGCTCTCAACAATTTACTTCCCTCTGCTTCCTCCACTTTCGGTCATCCATTTGCTTAAGTCCGCCAGGTATGTCACACGTTGTTTTCACTTGTATCTCTTTCCCTTTATTCGACCCGTGAGTATCAGATTCTCCAGGCCCTCCTTCCTCCTTATGTATCCCAAAAACATCAGCTGCCTCTTCCTGATATTAAGTATAAGCCTTATCCTTGTTTGCAAAACCTCATCGTTGTTCACACGCTCGGTCCATGATATCCTTAGCATCCTTCTGTAGAACCACATCTCTGTCACCTCGAGGCTCTTCTTCATCTTTGAGGAAATCGTCCAACATTCGCTGCCGTAAAGAAGGGCAGATGTCACGTAACAGTTAAGTATTCTGTAGGAAATTTTGTAATTTCATTTCCGTTAAAATCACTGAACCAATATGGATCATAAATGATAATGCGAAGTTTTTTCTGTAATTGTGTCCACTATAAAAAAGAACTTAACATTTCATGGACATTTTGCACATTTGCTTTGTATCTAAGGAGAGATAACTGCATTCCTGACTTTCAGTTCGTGATATAAAGCATAACTTTGGCTTGCAACAAAGCAAACCAATAGATTCATTCATTCATGTTCTTTGATTTCTTGTCACTTTGCAGGTTATTCAAAACTAGAAAATATTTTTCGATTGTAAGAAATATTTTTTAGATAATAATTGTATAATGGTACAAATCTTACTAATTAACCCATAGATGGGAGAAGAAGAGGTGAATCCATACCTTTCATAAGGGTATTTCAGCCTAAATCATTATAACAAACCTAACTGAAATTGGTGCTCGGCTAACAGATTAACAATTCCGAGCCATTATACGTTTCAACATCCGCACATCCAAGCTTAGACGACCTGGTATTCCCAAGCGGTCACTCATCTAGGTACTGACCAGGCTTGATGTTGCTTAACTTCGGTGATCTTACAGGAAGCGGTGTTTCAATGTGATATGACCGTAAGTCCATTACACCATTCACCGCACATTGAAGTTTACAGCACCTTGTACTCCGAAGCGGTTACCCATCTAGGCAATGATTAGTTTCTACGTTGCTTAACTTCTCTGAACGTCCATTGCATCACGCGAACATCCAATCTTACAGTACCTCGTATTCTCAAGTGGTCACTCATCTATGGACTGACCGGGCACGACGTTGCTTAACTTTTCTAAACGTACGGGAACCGGGTTTTCAACGTGATATAATCATAAGTCCATTGCATCACTCGCACATCCAATCTTACAGTACCTCGTATACCCAAGTGGTCACTCATCTATGGACTGACCAGGCACGACGTTGCTTAACTTCGCTAAACGTACGGGAACCGGGTTTTCAACGTGATATTGTCATAAGTCCATTGCATCACTTGCACATCCAATCTTACAGGACCTCATATTCCCAAGTGGTCACTCATCTATGGACTGACCAGGCACGACGTTGCTTAACTTCGCTAAACGTACGGGAACCGGGTTTTCAACGTGATATAGTCATAAGTCCATTGCATCACTCGCACATCCAATCTTACAGGACCTCGTATTCTTAAGTTGTCACTCATCTATGGACTGACCATGCAAGACGTTGCTTAACTTCGCAGAACGCAAGGAAATAGTTATAAGTCCATTGCATCACCAACATACGAAAGCTTACGGAACTGCGTATTCTCAAGCGCTCAACCATCTAGATCCTGACCATATTCGACTTGCCTTAACTTCGGAGTTCTTACGTGAAGCAAAGATTCATTACACCGTCCGTCCAGCCCACCTTACGGCACGTGATATTCCCCCAGCGGTTACCTATCTTGGTACTGACGTTGCTTAACTTCGCTCATCTTTCAGGAAATGGTGTCTGAACATCTTTTGGCGCTAAGCCCATTACACCATCCGCACATCCTACTTTACAGCCACCTTGTAATTATGAATGAATATATAACTGAAAAAAATGTAATTGAAATTTATTTCTCAAGAATAAAATTGGAAAGGAAATTATTTATGATTTAATTGAAAATTTAAAATGTGCACGTACGCACACACACAGACAAATACACGCACACGCATATATATGTATATATTGAATACTATCGCTGTCAGTCATAGCACATGAACCCTCCATGCGACATTGTTGGGAACTGCCTTTAAATTTATTGTTAGCTAAATTTAATTAAATTTATTTCAAATTTATTATGTCAGAAATTTGTAGTTGTAAGCAATATATGTTGCACCTTAATTTTGTGTTTTCCCATATATATATATATATATATATATATATATATATATATATATATATAAAAGAAATATGTTGTAGTGGTTCCAACGAGAGAAAAGTATGTATATTAAAAAGAAGAGGGTGCCGCAAACGTTTTTGGTTGTAATGTGGATTTATTGAGAAAAATATTATACTTTGTTTTTACATAATTTCACGACACGTGTTTCTGGTCTGGTCTCGCAAACCGTCTTCAGGTGAAAGTGGAGATTTTTACATATTATTAAAAATAATTAATTTTTTCTTCATGTTCAATGTGGAATATTCTCGATATGAGACATTCTGTTTGTGTGTTGGCAATCCGAATTTTCTTTCTAGAATTGTCAATGAAGAGTTCTGCGTGAAGGGTCATAAAACAATTAAGGTTTGTCCAGCGAGTAGTTATCGGCATTTAATCTTTTAATGTTTTAGTGACCTCTATGTGCTCTTGGATCTGTTTCTATTTTGGCGTGTTCCTGTCAGCATGCGTGTATATATGCGTGCGTATATTTCCTTACTACGAGGAATTCGTAAACTTATTTGTACCTATACACGCATACACACACATACACACTATCCCACCACAAGTAGTCAGTACACACACACATATACACACATATTTCCCAAGCTACATGGAACCAGTACACACACATACACACACACACATACATACACACACACACACACACACACACACACACGTACTTCTTAAGTTGTCAACATCCGCATATACATACATAAATGTATGTATGTGTACATACACATATATATATCTCCTCGTGTCTCCCGTATATGAGTGTGCGTCCATGTATGTGAGCGATCATTGTATTTGGTCACCCTGTGTGCATGTTTTTTTTTTTTTTTTTTTGGGGGGGTTTTTGATCTATTCAGTTCGGGTTTGAATTTGTCTATAAAGTTTTTTTTCCTGTATTTGTAGATACGAGTAATTGTCTGTTTGATATATCGGCATGATATTAAACTTACCCTGGTTACATTTGAAAATGTGTTGTGATACAAAAAGTTTTCTGTTGTCTGTCAATTTTATATTGCTTTTGTGTAGGGAGACCCTGTTGTTCAGTTGTTGGCTGATGCCTATATATGACTTCTTACATTTTGTGCATTTAAGTGCATAAACTACATTTTGGAGTTGCAGTTTAAGTTTTTTGTTTATTGTGAATGTTTTTTTTTGGGTTTTCAAAAGTGTAGGAGTTTCCTTCTATAATGATGTCACAAACTCCACATCTTTTTTTTGTTGCATTTTGTGACTCCCCTGTATTTTGTGTTGACTAAATTTAGGTGAGGTTAATATGTGTTTTAGGTTTCTAGATTGGCGTTTGCTCTTAATTATTTTGGTTGTTTTTAGTATATTATTCAGTTTATTATTCTTGCTAAGTAAATCTAGATTTTTGTGATTTCTGGGAATATTTCTGGGTTGTTTTTGTTGTACGTTGAAACATATGCTAGAGTTTGTTCGACGTTACGTTTCTTTTATTTCTAAGTTGGTCTAGAGGAATTTCTTTCTGAGTTCAATACCTTTGTTTACTAGTGTTGTGGGGTAGCCTCGTTTCTTGAGAGTTTTATGTAGTTCTTCTAAGCGGATTTTTCGGAGATGTTTATCAGTCACTATTGTACAAATTCTACGTGCTATAGATAGATAGATAATATTAGTGGTCAATATATATATTATGAAATGGACAAAGTCCGACAATTATTTTAAGACATTTTTTATGTTTATACATTCTTTTTTATAGATACAAATATTTAAGCAAATGCTCTATTTATAATAAACAGTATTAACAACATTTACCGGCCTGAATGCTCGAGACATTTTCATAGAAAATATGTGTCTTCCGACAGGAATCGAACCTGTATCCTATACGGAACCGTCATATAGCCTGACGTGCTTCATCGATTTAGCCACAGAGGAGCGTTTCGGTTAGCAAGGTCGATTTTACTGTTTTTAAACTAAAATTTTCCATGATTTTCTCTCGTACATACATATCTGCTAATGGCGTATCCAAATGCAAACAAATGACGTCACACATTATGCAATGGAGAATGTCCGACAATTATTTTAAGACATTTTTTATGCTTATACATTCTTTTTATAGATACAAATATTTCAGTAAATGCTCTGTTTATAATAAACAGTTTTAAACAACATTTACCGGCCTGAATATCCGAGAAATTTTCATAGAAAATATTCGTTCTCCGACAGGATTCGAACCTCAATCTTCCATGATTCTCTCACGTACATTCATATCTGCTCATGGCGTATCTAAATGTAAACAAAAGACGTCACACCTTATGAAATGAACAAAGTCCGACAATTATTTTAAAGACATTTTTATATTTAACATTCTTTTTATAGATACAAATATTTAAGTAAATGCTCTGTTTATAATAAACAATATTAAACAACATTGAAGTTTAAAGGCAGTAAATTCGACTTTGCTTATCGAACGCTCCTCTGTGGCCAAATCGGTTAAGGCACATCAAGCTAAATGACGTGTTCCGTATAGGATACAGGTTCGGATCCTGTCGGAGAACGAATATTTTCTATGAAAATTTCTCGGGCATTCAGGCCGGTAAATGTTGTTTAATACACACACGAATACAGGGCTGGTATAGATGGAAACAAATTCCGATAACCAAAACCACTATTTTTTTAAAAAGTGCTCAATACAAAGAAGGGTAAATAATATTTATTCAAAAATTATAACATAAACATATTATAACATCACTACAAAAATAGCCATTTTGTTTCAACATTTCTGGTGTCTTGTCAAATGGTGGTGTCAATTGTAAAAAAAAGAGTATTAAAAAGTTCAAAAGCAAGACAAACACACCCTAATTGTTACGTAATCTATGATGGCCAGTTAGAATACAAGTATATGAGAATTCAAAAAACTTGACAACGGACCCTAGATACAATTTATTAACGTTTTAATATTAATATTAAATTAAATAAGAAATCAGCATAACTAATTAACTTTTAATTTCACTATACCGTTAAAAAAAGATAAAAATTACAAATTATAAATTTAAAATATAACCATGCATTAAGATTAAACTATTACAATATTATTCAAAGAAGAAACAGAGAAAATATACATATATATATATATATATATATATATATATATGTGTGTGTGTGTGTGTGTGTATTCTTCTTAGCTAGATGTTAAATTTTCCACTAGACTCAATGCAAATGCAAATAGTTTCAATGATCGCTATAGATTAGATACATTTATAGAATCTGAATTCAGATTAGTTAGACAGGGGAAGAGGTTTTAGAAATGCTAAGACAGACAAAATCACATCGTAATACACACACATAAAATGAATATGTAAGAACGTAAATATACGAACGACACAGGAAATAGATAAAGAAAAGAAGAGAAGAAATAAAAATACCGAAAAAAAATAAAATAAAGAATAAAATGAGGATAAAAAGAAAGAAGAACAAGAATAAATAAAAACGCGCCACAGTAAATTATATCAGACACAAGTACATATAATTAAAACATAGACAAGCACACAAACGTAATTATATGCAAATAAACAGACACACCAAGATTCAAGCATGAAAACACTCAAGACAAACCAACTATGATATTTTATATACTTGAACAAACAATATATATATTCATGAATCATTCATACAAAAAACAAATATAGAGGTTAATGATTTACATGGCGAGAATACATCGTCGCAAACAATATAAATAAGATACATCAACCCCGAACCTGTATATGAATGATATGATCCCTGTTTAAAATTCCAGTTGCATAAGGTCTTTTTAATTTTTTACAAGCTTTCGTCTGTTCCTACAGACATCATCAGGTATGGAAGTAGATTTTGTTCTTGTTTTTACTTCTCAGTAATAAGAGGACAACGAAAATAGAGATGCAACCCGAAAAAAATGCTATGAGAAATGTGTTATTGTTTTGGAAATTATTTATTTATTGAAATTAAAACAACTGATCCAACGTGCAACTCTCGGATAATAAGCGTGGCATTACTGTAATTATTGAACAATATAGTTCATACCATATTCACGGAAAATCTACCAGTAAAAAAGAATTCTCTTATTGCTATATTTGTACAAAAACGCAGAACCTGAAAATTTAAATTCAAACTCAGCGTTGCGACTGCACGTTCCAAAACAATAACACATTTCTCATAGCATTTTTTCGGATTACATCTCTATTTTCGTGCTTGATTCAAAAATCGTACGAATCATAGAGCAA